GCAGGGGACGGGGAAGGCGACCTAGGGCGGTGAGGGGAGGATGAAGCCTCACATCCTCTCTGAGAGTGCTGCTCTCACAGTGCCAGTGGGGACTGTCACGCAGACAGGGAGCTGATGCCACAAGGGAGCGCCACGGTGGCAACGTGGCTCTTCTCTGGGACCACAAAGGGGGGCAGTGACCCCCCACTTCCCAGCCATCACTCAGCCCCCACGTGCCCCACCTGTCCTTGCGCGCAGACTCTTGACAGCGGCCCTGAGCCTTCCCAGGAAGGAAGGAGCTTTAACTTGGCACACGTGGAGACACACTTTGCCACCGCGCTCGCCACGGACCGAGGGTCAGGGCTGCTTCACACCTTTGCTTTTGTGGAGCTGGCTGTGTTTCTTCCCACCTCCAGGTATCACTACCAATTTTTGAAACATCTGACTCAATCTACTGAATTATGAAACATGTGAAAATATTTCAACAACATTGCAAGTGTCCCCACCTAGAGTGTTTTTCACTCTTTCACATAAAAGTATCCTCTCACCCAAAATCAAGAACAGGATCTGAAATACTCTACTGAACATAATAAATACTTCGTAGTGGTAATGATAATACGATATTCAATGCCTTTATAAATTTTAGGTGTGAAGACAATTTTTTTAGTTTTTTAAAAATAATTTTAGAAATGGGATCTCATTATATTACTCAGACTAGTCTCAAACTCCTGGCTCAAGCCAACCCCGACCTTGGCCTCCCAAAAAGCTGCATTACTGAGCCACTGTGCCTGGCCAAGACAATTTTTTTTGATGAAACAGCTTGCAACTGTAAATAATTTTGTTCTTTTCCTATGTTCACATACTCCCTAAAAGATTAAATTTTAAATGCTCCCTAAACCTTTTTGCGTTACAGTTTTGGCTTCAGTTATTTTACAGTTTTGTGTAGTTTGGCACAAAAGTTGGTTTCAAATGATAATTTGTCGTTAGATAAATTGTCATGTAGGCACCCATTCTTGCCACATTTTCTCTTGATTTCTTTCCCCCTTTAAAAGAAGAAACAATGCTTAATGAAGAATAAAAAATAATCAGAAAAAATCTTGCACAGTTTGGGGTATAACTTTTTGATTTCTCAACTAAAGATAGTTCCCAGAGACTTGGCAGAATGTGTAAACATAAGATTAGATTTCATTTTTAAGTCTTTATTTTCCCCTCCTAATTGATAGGATCCAGAATAATAAAATGTCTAGGCCATGGACAGCATCTTTATAGTGTCTATAATATTTGAACCAATTTTTTTTTTCCTGGGAGACCCTGGGGAGATAATACTTTGTAGAATTTCCGTTCCTTGGGAAACCCTAGTAGAGAACCACTTTCTCACTGGGATTTAGAGAATAGTCAGAAATGATTATGCTGATGGCTTCATGTCTAACCCTGTAGGAGGACAGAGCTAATTCCACTCCCAAACCATGAAGGAAGTATGTAAAAAGGCTCTGAGATATTTGCTTTATGTCTAAAATCCTTCAGATAAACTTAATTTTCTTTCTTGTATTACTGCTTCACTTTCCTGTTTTCATGATCTGCCTTTTTTTGGGGGAAAGAGGATCTTTTTACTGTTCTTTAATCTAACTCTTAGACTACTGGGACTTGCGATTCTGATCTAACCCCCGTAACCCTTTGGAATATGGCAATCCAATACTTGTGCATTCATTTCCTTGTCCCCAGTAGTATACCATGATTTAATGATTTTGTCATAATGTGGCTTAGTGTATTAAAATGGGTCTAGTGGGGAGAAGGGAGATATGAAACATTTGGCTTGCTTTTGAGGAATAAACCATCTCATATGTGCGAGTCTGGGATTTGACTGGGCTGGAGGGTGAGAGGTAGGTAGTGGAGGTCCTCTTGAGTTTTTAGAGTACAGAATTAGGGATTATTCCATTGGGAAATCCCAAAGCATTCAGAATGATGTAAGAGCTCCATTATGGCCTCCTAAGTTATTGAAGTTTCCCGTGTAATTGGTCTTCTTTGAATGCTCCTTTGATGATGACATGGCTACTTTTAGTGTGGAAACTATTATAATTTTATCAGTTTCTAAGTCAATCATATTTTCACATTTTAACTTCTCTGAAATTACGAATGCTTCATGATTGATGGTACATCATAGTTTGTCAGTATTTTTTTGTTATTAGTGGTACTCAATAATGTTCCTTTTATAGTGAAAAGTCATCTTATTTTTTAAGGACACAAAGGAAATTTGCTTATTTTTGTGGCACATAACATTTTAATATAATAATCGTAATTATTACTGGTAATTATATCAACACCATTAAAATTTTAGGATCTCGTGCAATTTTGGAGCACATACTAATAACATTTATATAAATATAATTTAAAAGAAATTTAGAAATCATTTTATATTTGATAAGTTTCTGTATAATTTTGATATATCATTTTTTGTTTTTCTTTTTGTCCTTCATTTTTTAAAAAATTTCAGAATATTACAGTAGGTGCAAATGTTTTGGTTACATGAATAGAATAGTTTTTGTACTGCTTGAGTCAAAGTTATAAGTGTGCCTATCACCCAGAATAATGTACATTGTACCTGTCAGTATGATTTCACCATCCTCTCCTCTTCCCTCCCACTGGCGTGATTTTCCATTGAGTTTTTATTTTCATTCTGTGCACACGAGTGCTGGTCAGTTACTTCCAATTTAATAGTGGCACATGTGGTATTTAAATCAAACCCACAATGGGATATCACCTAACCCTAGTGAGAAATGTCTTTTAACAAAAAGTCCCAAAGCAACAGATGTGGCATGGATGCAGAGAGAAAGGAACACTTATCCACTGTTTGGGACTGCAAAGTAGTGCAACTTCTATGGAAATAGTATGGAGATTCATGCAAAGAACTAAAAGTAGACCTTACCATGTGATCCAGAATCTCACTACTAGGTTTTACCCTAAGGAAATAAAGTCAATTTTAGAAAAAGACACTTGCACTAGAATCGAAACCATATTCACAATCGCAAAGATGTGCCAATCAACCAAGTGCCCAGTTTCATGAGTGGAATTATAAAAATGTGATTATATGCTTCTTCTTCTCCGGGAAAAACACCAATGGCGGATGACGTCCGGTGGCAGCCGGAGGCCCGGAGGCCCTGGAATCGAGTCCGCGGAGCTGGCAGAGGCAAGCCGAGGACAAGGAGTGGATGCCCCTGACCAAGCTTGGGCCGCCCTGGTTAAGAACAATGAAGATCAAATCTCTGGGGAGATCTATCTGTTATCACCTTGCTATCAAGGATTCTGAGATCATGACAATTTTTTTCCTGGGAGCATCTCTCAAAGATGAGGTTTTTGATAGATTATGCCAGTGCAAAAGCAGACCAGCGCTGGCCAGTGGGACGCAGGTTCCAAGGTGTTTGTTGCCATCCGGGGACTACAATGGCCACGTTGGTCTAAGTGGTTAAGTGGCTC